GAATAGTGGGATTGACCGTCACATTATAACGCCCCCACGGCTAAAAGGGCGAGCATGTTTGGTGGAAGGGGGATTCGAACCCGCGACCCTCAGATTGCGAGTCGAGCGCCCTAACCACCTGGCCATGCTGGGCCGCTTAGTTTGGAAGGGTAGCTTTATTTGGGTAGTGACTGGGTGGTATGAAGCACATTCCAGTTCTTAATGATGGACTTATCATACTCAAAGGGATAATCAGCGAATTTGAAATTTCCTAGTAATCTTCTCCTTATCGGTGCTTCTCTACCACTTTATACTTGACTTGTTTGGAAAGCTCATTGGTCTTCATGGTTGGTTTGTAGTATCACTATGTGAGTTGTGGCTTGAACAGATGCATCTACTCTGAAGTCAAGTTAAACAACTTTGAGTATACATAGACAGAAACCATTACATTAATTCTGTGACTTTTCAAACTAATGTTTTGCACCTGAACTGATTTAGGATTGCCGTAGCAAAGGGATTGATTACTTATGCAATTGAGAATATTTTAACTTTCTTTGAAAATTAACTTACTTACATAATATCAGCATTTTTTTAGCTTTCTCAGTTTGGAGTAGATTTTGAAGATTATAAATATAAAGTCCCATTTGAAAGTTTTACTATTACAAGCTCAGACGGCAACAAAAAACAATGGAAACTTTGGTGGGGGTGAATACTTTTGCAAGGCACTGTATCTTGCTGTAAATAGATAACAAAATGTTAACAGAAGTTAATATCATATTTTAAAGATATTGAATATCTTGATATAAATAGACAACGAAATGAATGTTATGTTGACAGAATAAAATATATTTTAAAAATAGTAAATATCTTGCTATAAATAGATAAGGGAATAAATGTTACGTTCACATAACAAAATGTCATAAATATAATACTACTGTCTGTTGTATATCCATGTAACTACTTCCCAGGGTGTGGCTGGATCTTCACCAAAACTGGTATGTAGGTTCATTAGATCCATGGAGAGATACATACAGATTTTCAGTTTTGCGGTTTTTATGGGCGTTTTTTACGATTACATACAAGGGAAGCAACTTTTCCTGTCCTAAGATAACCTTTCATTAATCATGAATTTACATAACTTTCATCCAGGGAACAGAGACTTTACAGAATCAAATGTCATATTTTAAAAATACATTACACATAACTCATTCGTAATGGGAAGTTTTATTAGTTTCACTATGACAAGGCCAAAATCGCTTTATGTGCTAGAAATATTTTGCTGTATCCCACAGATTCGAACCCGACTGTAAATTCAGAGCCAAACCCGCACCCCTACAAGTTATTGTGTTTTGAAATATATTTTTTGTTTGGTTGGGTTATTATGATACGTCGATATTAAGAATATTGTATCACTGAATTTCAGATTTTTCTTCCACAACTTGTTATCCTTTAAGTTTAATGTGATATCCCTTACGTACAAGAAGATTCCATTGGCAATAGTAAATACTATAAATGTTTGCTCTATTTCTGATGAAATATCGTCGCAAGCTTTTAGTGTACAGAAAAGTGTAAATGTTGTACTTGTACTATATGTCTACCTAGTTCAAATGAATTTGTCTATATTGTCTACTAGAATAGATATATTTGTCTCTATTTTAGTTGGGGGGGCAGAAACTGTTTATTTATTAGAATAGTTTCTTGTTTAACTAACAAGTCTCATTTATTAATCAAAACACTTTCTTCCTCGGTATAAATATCCACCTATAACATACGCCAAAGTTATTTATATAACGTGCTTTTTAAAGCATAAACGTATAGAAATTACAGCCTCTCCAACCCTTTATGTTAACGATGGTAAGATGAAGAAAATGTAAATATGAGTTACTGTAGGTTGCGATTTCCAAAGTCATATTCATTATCGTGATTTTGAACTTCGACTTCACATTATCTGGTCTTTCATATAGTAGTAGTGATGGATGTTTACTTTGTCTATAACATTCCACGGGAAGTAGATTCTGTAGTATGGCTTGCATTATCCTTTTATCTGTTATACCACTTATAAAGATGCATTACTCTATTTTCAACATACTATATTTAATTTCCCAGATTACATTTAATTTTGTGTTGCTTCTAACTTAGTTGCTGACCCACAAATGGCACGAGCTTCTGGTACTAACCACATGCGCTTACCAAGCTATCCACGGACCAGTGAAGTACTCCGAGTCGAGTCTGGACCAGGAGATAGTAGCAGGTCTCTGCCGCCTTCAGAATTGTTTGGCTGCTATGATGGGACGGCCAATTACACTTGAACAGCTACGCTTGGAAGCTGGCCCTCTGGTGGAACATCTTACTCATTTGAGCTCTGCCTTCCGTCGGATGAGGCTGTGTATTGAAGAGTATGTCTGCCTCAAGGTTATCATCATGCTAAATCAAGGTAACGGACATTTATTACCCAATGAAATGAAGGCCTTGCGTGAATCAAATGCAATTTAAAAATTAAATGAAAATTAAGATCAAACGGGATTCTAACCGACAACCTTGCCTATCAGAGCAGTTAAGCCTCGACAGCTTAAACGGTTAAGCATATGCTTGATAAACGCAAAATGGATTTCAATCGTAAGCTATCTTGCTTTTTCAGTTATATAGTAAAGGGCACATTAGAGTGCACCCCTGTCAAGAACAATCCTAAACTGCTGAGGGTGAAACCTACATCATGATAATCACATGGTGTGTCACGTTCGAATAATTTGTTCAAATGGGTGTCTTATTTATCTACAATGATTTCAATACGTACGCTTACTTAAAGCTTAAATATTCTAGTTTCGTGCAAGAAAGAAACTGCCAGATATTGTACTGACAGTAATGCAAAGAAAAATATCGTAACAAAGTAATGGGTTAAAGAGTGAACTGTTTTTCGTAGATAATTCCAGTAAAACTATGCATCTGAAGTAAAGTGTCAACGTAATAGTGACCATGCTTATACATTTGTGTTACAATACTGTACGTTCTGTTCTTACTTAACAATTAAGCTTGTATTATATCGCTATACTTAAAGCATGAATCATTCTTTTAAATTCAAAACTGTTAGAAGTCCTTGTTATTTATTTTCTATCTAACGCCAACAAGATGACTATTATTTCAACAGTTTAGAAAACGCATTGAGTATTTGGGTTCGTGACAACTGTAATACATGATATAGCTGACACACTGATAATTTTGGACTGAAACCGAATCACTATGTCTATGAAACCTTTAGCAATATCAAATATTTATAATGGATACATGATAGGACAGTTTAATAATCAGTAATCTGGAAAAATAACTTTCAGCACTAGAAGAACAGTTATAATAACAACTTTCAGCACTAGAAGAACAGTTATAATAACAACTTTCAGCACTAGAAGAACAGTTATAATAACAAATTTGAGCACTAGAAGAACAGTTATAATAACAAATTTGAGCACTAGAAGAACAGTTATAATAACCAATTTCAGCACTAGAAGAACAGTTATAATAACAACTTTCAGCACTAGAAGAACAGTTATAATAACAACTTTCAGCACTAGAAGAACAGTTATAATAACAACTTTCAGCACTAGAAGAACAGTTATAATAACAACTTTCAGCACTAGAAGAACAGTTATAATAACAACTTTCAGCACTAGAAGAACAGTTATAATAACAACTTTCAGCACTAGAAGAACAGTTATAATAACTAACTGAAAGCGTGGTTTTGTTCATTCATAGTTTCTAAACTGTCAGAATAACGAAGTAACTGATTCAACACGTCTCAGCTGTTGGATCTATTAGGTCTTCTATAATGGTGATTTTAATAGTAACTATAGCAGATCATAGAGGACTAGTACTCAAACTATTCTGGCAGCTGAATTTTAGTTCCTACAAAAAATGTCGATGTAAGAAATGCTTTTATTGGTTACCGTAGCGTGCCTAGACATTTAGGGTCTAAACCAAATATCATTTAAAATGGATTGTTTCTTCTTTGTTGAAGTGGCAAATAATAGCTGTTAGTGATATATAATTGAGTAATTGGATTTAAGACAAGTGTTTAATTACCAGTAAGAGTATAATTTAAAAACCTAAAGATCGATTTTGTAGTACCAAAAAAAAGAGAAAAAAATATTGTGGCGAATAATGCTAATACTAATAAAACTACTAAACTGATAGTAATATCATTTTCTCCTTCAGTCACAGAAGAGTATCAAGGTCAACGAGAACTCGAGGTAATCCAAGAGCGTTACCTAGCAACCCTAAGGGTGTTTATTGAACAGCGTTTCCATCAACAACCGAATAGATTTAACGACCTGCTAACTTGTCTTCCTGACATCCACGCAGCGGCAGGGTTGTTGCTCCAGAGTAAAATGTTTTATGTTCCTTTTATACTGAACACCAGCATCAGCAGATAGCGACTGTGCCCTAAAAGTGTGTATAGTTTTTACAAATATAAATATGTCTACACAGATACGCGGTCAACAAAAGGAGGGACGACCTCAGACCACCGTCGCTACATTTGTAAAGTGTCCAGCAAAAGAAGGATGGAGAGTGAGATTAACTTTGACTAGTCAGCGAATCCAGGGCGAAGGCATCAGTATCCGAGGTCACTCTCAGTCCGGTTCTGTGCAATATATCGTGCAGGCGAGAAGTTTGGGATGTTCCTAAAGAAAAGCAAACTCAGAAGAAAAAAAAAGAGGATAAATCGTGACCTAATTCCGTTTCTAGGCTCGCTTGTAATAAATAAATTTATATTATTTCTTACGTTTGAATAATATTTCTTTCGTTAATGTTACAAAGTTTCTTGTTCTGGAGAAGTTTAAATTTTTGATTGTAATTAGATACGTGTCACTGAACTTGCATGCATGTCCCACAGAAATTATGTTTTCATTATGTCATGATCATGGACGCAGAAAATAAAACAGTTACAAAAGCAGTCTCCTTCTTCACCTTCGTAATGGTAACAACAATTGGTATTATCGCGGCGGAAATATATAGGAAATAATACGTTTCAACTTTCTGGAACTTATCATTCAATATGTGGCGCACCCAGTGGCACAGCGGTAAGTCTGCGGACTTACATCGCTAGAAACCGGATTTCAATACTCGTGGTGGGCAGAGCACAGATAGCCCATTGTGTAGCTTTGTGTTTAACTTCAAACAAACAATATGTGGTGTCATTCGTATATTGTTTATAATTTGTTTTCTTTTAAATATTCGCGCAAAGCAACGCAAGAGATGTATGCGTTAGTCGTCCCTAATTTTGAATTGAAAGACTAGAGAGAAAGCAGCTAGTCAACAAAACCCTCCGCTGGCCCTCCCTTGTGTGTTGTGACAATGCCAATCAGTCTTTTGTAAATACTGGTTAATTCGAAGATGTGTTGTAATATAAATAATGTTATAATTTTAAGGTAAAATGTTTGCTTGTTTGTTAACCACAAAGCTACACAATGGGTATCGAAACCCGGGTTATAGCTTTATAAGGCCGCAGACATACTGCTGTGCCATTGAGGGGCAAAGGTAAAAACGATAATTAAAAAACAAGAGGGAATCCTCAATAGCCGCGGCACTTGCCCTGTTTGACCGTAAAGCTGTTTCAATAAGCCAGACGACCATATACTGCTGTGTAACCATCAATTGTCGTGAGTGGTACACAAGATGGTGTTCTTTTAACATTTATTAATTTGATTCTCTTTCATTTTCGGAGTTTAACAAGCTAAACACAATTCTACACAATCCGTGAACGACACCTTTTGCACGAAATGTTTTAAATTCAGAGTTCGATTCCCACAGCGCGAATAGCTTATTGTCTAACTTTAGGCTAAAATAAACTACAATTAAATTGCAATTTATGAAACCTTTCCGTCGCAATGAGTTTATCTAAGCACCAATGAAATGTTTATAGGAACAGTGTTACCGGTAAACAAGTTTTTAGCCGCGGCATATTGGCTCATATAATGGCTCAGAGTTTTTCAAGTACAAACTTTTAGCTAAAGGCTTCGTCATCTCTTGAGATCTATTTACAGTTTTGGACTCAGGAGGTCAAACCCTTTCGATTGATGCATTTGACCACGTCCAAGGTCTCATAGGTTAATTTCCTCTAATCCTGTCTAAAAGAATTTCAATTTGACGGTAGGCTGGTAGAGATCCTGATGAGTAATAAAATCGAATCCGGTATATACGCGCCTCACGATTGGTATTGCTAGCGCATAAAAATATAGCTAATAAAAAGGAAGAAAACAAAGTTTTGATAGATTAATTTACTCTAATCCTGACTAAAAGAACTGATCACGTATATACAATGAACTAATAAAAGGGAAGCATGTGCACTTTCTTTTGTAAGTATATGAAAAAAACGGTAAAATATATACGTGCACTTTACTATGAATGTTTTGAACTAACTATCCTTATAACTGTGTTGACTCTCATACTACCTTCAACGTCTGACGTTTCTAGTCCATACAAATTTGAGACTAATGAAACACGAGAATGTTTAACTAGTTTCAGTATGTAAACATAATACTATGATCAATGATGTTAACTTCACCTTGTATTACTTTTTTGAACTATCCTATCACCAAGATATTAAATATATGTATATAATGACCAACATTGGTCATTTTAATTATCACATACCTGCATGTACTTAAACATAGCCTAGTGGTTGAGCTATTAGGATATGTTCAACATATTGTTAAACATTCTTTACTTTTACTCTGAAGTTGGAGCTGTGCCAAAGGTATGCACGTTAGAAAAGATGTGGCATTGCAAATAATGTTCTCATGCTCGTAATCATAGGGTTAATAGTACCACTAATCAAAATAAAACAAATGTTGGAAAACTTTCTCTGGTATAACACGACCGATTTTCTGATAACCAAGTTGACCACGATGAAACCATACGAAATTTTGAAATTTCAATTATAATTTTCTTTCTTATCGGCTCGTCCCCTCCCCTCACTCCAGTGGCTCGGCGGTAAACATGAGGGTTTATAACTCTGGAATTTTTTGTTCGATCCCTACGACGTATAGAGCAAACAAAAGCAGAAAGGACTCGCGAGACGTCTCTCGTCTTGTTTTGTAAATAAGTGTAATTCCAAGGTTTCTCATAGTTTGAAGTACGTTTAAAATGTTACAATATATACTTTTATATTTCTATGGATAAGTATGTTCATGCTACGCCAGTCACGATGCTCAGAAATGCGTGTGTATGAGTGGTAAATAGTGAATGATGGCCCTGAGAAGTGGGTGCGTGTTGGTTACAAAGGCAACTACCACAACCTGAAGGAGTACACACATGTGACTGATATATATATGATATTAGTCTTGAGAAGTACGCTCAGACGGATGATGAATGATGGCGACTCCCGCGATCCTGTAAAGTGAAGCATTGGAGAAGTTTGTTCTTTCCTCTCTTTTTTTTTTATCTGAAGATTGGACATTTGTCTGAATAAGAATGAAACGCTAAGACGAAGCTATGAGATATCATGTTTTGTTTTTTAATTCTCCGCACTCTTAATAGAGCTGAAAAGTAGGTCAAAGGAAACTAACAAAGCCCACATTAGAATCATCCCAGCTGATGCGGCAAGGTTTGTGTTTACAGTAAAACACTATCGTACTAGTTATAACCCCTGCATTTATAAACAATTCACGTGGATGATGGTGTTATATGTTTGTATAAAACATTATGTCGGTCAAGGTGTTGCTGAACATGCTTTCTTTTGGGCAGGTACAGCTTAACAGTGAGGTTAAAGTCCTTTGTCGAGGCTAACAGCTGTGTTGTGTACTAACCAAGGTTAAGTATATGCAGTTTCTAACATAGTTCGATTTGCAGCTTAGCCAAGGTTAACTCAGTTTCATTCGTAGTTTGATTTACTTGCTTGTTATCTGCCAAGGCCTTCTAAATTTCATAATATGGGTCAATATTTTCAATTGCCAAGTAAACAATCCAAATATTTCAGTGTACCGAAAGGGTTCCAATTGTAGTTAAACTATCAGAGCCAGTAGGAGTTCAGTGGCCTCCGAAAGAAGGGAGAGGAAGAAAGCAGAACCATAGAACAATGGCACCAGGAAGGGGAACTGGCCTCGCGGAAGTAGGTCAGTAAGCCGTTAACCCCACTGGAAATGAGAGCACGTAGTACACCGCCCGAGGGCTCATGACCTCGCCTCGTTACTTGTGTAGTCATAGAAACACGTCAAACAGGATGCCTGCGCGCGGAAGGCCGACGTGTTTAACAGGCTGTAGTGTACAGAGAGCGCTGAGAAAAGTAACTGTATCTTCTGTGTTTTAAATGGCCTTAGCTTTGGCCTTGTAAGCAGCATACCCTAGTGACTGCGAAAGGATTGTTGAGCACGTGCACTTAACGACTGAGAATGCTTGTTTCCATAGTGGCCTACTTCGAGGACAGTAGCTTCGTAGGTGTACTTTCACCAAAGCTTCTGGCTTTCTGATTTTAACACGTATTTCAGATGACAAGTATGAGTTAAAGAGATTGGCCGATAATGAGGCTTTCATTTTCTCTTCAATCCGATAAGTGTTTAACTTTTTTATGCTCCGAAATTTTTTTTAAATATCAGTCCCTAAGACTGATATTAGTAATAATAAGTTAGCTTAATTTTTCACTCTGTATTCGCTGAAAATCCTTTTATTAGTTGCATAATAAAATATAACAAAACGAAAGGAGTTGGAAAGAGTTGTTATACATTTCACCCTTACTTTAAACATTAAAGGAGGTTTCTTTGAGAAAAGGAAACGGGACTTTTTCAAACACGGAATATTTTCGTTCTTTCATTACTGCACAGTTCAGTTGGAAAACATTTTAGCATAGATAAGTTCGTAGACTCCAGTTGCACTGATTTAAACGTTCGTACTTCTTTAATAGATGGGAGTTAAGTAATAAAAAACATTATCAGTTTTCATATTAGGCCAGATGGAAAGCAAAAAGGTTTCTCAAATGTTTTAAGAAACCTAAAACAGCAAAGCTTTTTTTTCAAGAACTTCACTGCTATATTCTTTGACCACAGAATAACGCACATATATACAGAAGGTTGAGTACATTACGTTTAAATGATTTTCAATATGTAGATCAGCAAGTCACGTTACAACAGCCGATATATAGTCGCAGTTGAACTGAATGTATCAAAACTACATTTTGACACTGATTGGATTTACGTAGGTAGTAGGATGCCGCGGAAATTGATCGCAATTGGAAAGGTTATGTGACAGCTATTTCTTACACAAAATATTCATACACCCAGATCATAAATACGTTTGTCCCTGATGAAGAAAGGTCCATCTTTCGAAAACGCTCGTTACAGGGTTTGTATTTTTTGTCTTTTTACATATCAGGGTCATCCTTTGTACTTAATGGCATTGCAAAACAAAGGAATATGGATCAACATAATGCATCGGGATCACCCAGAAAGAAACCTGCAACAAGTCGTACCCCAGCCGAAGTAAACAAATTACGGCATCTCGCAAAAGGCAAAGATCCACAAACACAAAAGTCGTCCATGGGCCCTAGACAACGATGCCCAATATAATCAAGAAGGTTCTCCGTCTGGAAAATCGACACAGTTCATATATACACTAGTTGCTTCCACGAAATGTTTGTTCAAGCAGTTGTAGAATGAAACGGGTTTATATGCTATTCCATCGGAAGACATACCGGATATGTCGCCGGACGCAGCACTTATGGATTCTTTTGCGGTCGGACTGTTGAAATGGGCGCTTGAAAACCGATAATCTCCTAAAGTAGGCGGTATAAGTAATGACAGCGAGGAGGAGGGTTGTGCTTTACACATAGCAGGCTTACGACTAAGTCTTTTGCTATAGAAACTACAATGCAGGACTATCGTCAAGATGCACGGTCATCAGATAGAGCACGACCGGAAGTTTTGAGGCTCCCAAATCGTTTTAATATAACAAACTCAA